GAATATGCTAATAGGATGTACTTGCATACTGAATATGCTAATAGGATGTGCTTACGTACTAAATATGCTAATAGGATGTGCTTAAGTACAAAATATGCTAATAGGATTCACAGGCATATTAAATATGCTAATAAGATGTGTTTGCATACTAAATATGCTGATAAGATGTGCTTGCATACTAAATATGCTAATTAGATGTCTGTGTGTACTAAATATGCTAATTAGATGTCTGTGTGTACTAAATATGCTAATGAGTTGTACGCTAAATCAATGCCCGCACATACAAATTTAAAATCAAAGAATATCGTTGTCAAACAATTGTAAAACACAAATCAGGTTTTAAAGAAGTGATTTTTATCACATTGTACAGTTTAGTAATGAACTTTTTCTTCAACAAAAGAAAAAAAGATTTGTATTTTGTAAAACAGAAATTCAGATGTTTTACAAACCAATGTTTCAGGTTTTTGCATAGTAGTTGATATTCTGTACAGATAAATTTCCTGTTTTCTGGAGTTGTAAAATTATCATATGAAATGTTATGTTTTTAGTTGCCTGTTAATCTAGGATGAATTATATTGATTGAATCTCGTTAATCAATTTTACTAGTTTAAAAAACAAGTTGTTGAGAAAACGGTGAAAAAAATTGTACTTCTGTGATGTTAAAAAAAGAAGTTTTACTTTTATATATGTTATATATATGTAGTCCATTTTTCTGTTTCATAGTATTATTTACCCACTCCTTATGAAGGGGTTGTCTTGTCCACATTATAATGGTATGATCTGAATATAAGGCATAACTAAAAATAATAATAAAAAAAAAAATTGTTTATGTCATCGCATATAAGATGATGTTTTTATTATGATAGTTTTGTCGCGTGTAATCATGGAAATGTATGAAACATTTAAAAAAAATTATTTTCTGTCTGTCTCAATTTGTTGTGAATTATTTTGTTTCTTTATATTACTGTACTTCGTCTATTAGAAGCACATTTCCAATAGAAATGCAGATAACTCAGAAATGTCATGTGTTGTATACTGAATCATTAAAATATGACTTACCCCCCCCCCCCTCCCTTAGAAATACACCTGCAATGTATATAGGCGCATGTGCTTCTAATAGAGCAAAAAAGTAAATTTGATTTGCTACAGCTTTTTCTAATCATCAGTTTGTAATGTGAAAAACTGCCACTATACAAGTCTTTGAGGTTCCTGTACTGGCTTCATAAATCAAAAAGATTGTCGCATGGTTGTGAGTTTTACCATTTCATTCATTATATTTAACATTTTTGTATTTTAGAATGCTCAAGTTTCAAAGTTTTGTGTACGTGCACCTAAAAACTAACAGTATTTTGTTTGTGAGGGAGTGATAACAAATTATTTGCATCTGGTAATGCTAATTGCCATTTCAATCCTTTTATCATCTCTTATAGCCGGTGTGGTGGTAATGTCAGTTTGTTCTATATTTTATATTTTTGGACAAACTAAGAACACTCCCAAGACTGAGAAGTAATTTTGTCGAAATTCAGGAATTTCTGTTATAATCAGTATTGTGTGTCCGTGCACCCAAGTTTACGTGAATGCTAGGGCACTGTGAAAGGGAAATTATTGTTGCTCACCGAGTATTAAAATTCAGTCTTTTATCACGCCTCAAAGAGGTGGATCTTTGTTTCTTCTGATAAATATTAATAATTAGTTTGTGTATAAGGTGTAAATTATGAATTTAAAGATGAATTTCCAGATTTCGTTAAACATACACGAGACTGAATAGAAGAATAAAGGGATTTGTCATAGTCTTTAATCAATCTAATTCTTTGGTGGAAACAGAAAGAATTTTTACCCGCAGTTCAGGTTTTGCTGCATTGATAAAAATGGAGCTTGAAATTCAAGGGTTAGATTATTTTACATGGGTCAGAATTAGCTGTTTAACTTTGTGAAAGTTTTTTTTTCTTTTACGTCCTTTGTTAGTAGAAGTACTGAAAGATTTGCTCTTGCTTACTATGAACTTAATTGAGATGAAAACCGACTTTAACAATATGTATTATTATTATTCATGCGCTTTTGTTTTGTAAATATTTTGTAGGCATAATTTTTTGGGGGTATGTACAAGTGCAGAAAATGGAGTATGGAGAATTTATGGAGTGATTTTCAATACACCTGCCTAGCACCCCTTTCATGTGTACACTTGGAGTGTGCCACTACTTGTTTTTCAGGGATGTTTGTATAGTTGATTCAGAGCGCATATACTAAGCAGGATTTGATACGTCGAAAAGGAACCCATCAACAAACAAGCTGCTCTCTGATTGGTCTGTTAGGTGGGTAGTGTAAAGCGCAATCTTGTAGGTAGCTTCCCAT